CAGGGGTGCCTGCCCGGCCGGGCTTGTCCAGCTTTCATCTTGCTGACGCGCTGGGCTGTCACCCGTGGGCTGTTGCTGATGGAGACCTAGATGCAGCCCTTCTCCATCAGCCCCTCCCTGTCCCGCCCCTGGGCTGGGAAAACTGAGGCACCCTTAGCCACTGCCTCAGCAAAGGGAAGAAATCGGGTGCCATGCAGAGGGGACATGCCTGCCCCCCTTTCCTCGGGGGCTAATGGGGACACAGGGTGAGGGCAGGAGCCACTGGCTCTGGGAGGTGCCTGGGAGCCATCCGGCCCACCTGCCATTACCCCCGCGAGCAGACTGAGGACCCGGTGCTGAGGGGCAGCCTGTGTAGGAGAAGAGCAGCTTCGAAGCCTGACCATGACAGCCAGCACGTGGCCCTGAAGGAGCTGCTTTATGGGCTGAGCTTTGGTGGCTGTCCGTGCAGCGGGGACGCAAATGCTGCCTAGTCCGGTGTGTATGGAGGCGTGGCAGGGCGGGCCACTTCTGGAACACCTGAATCAAGTTTCAAAAGCAACTTAGGGGTTTAAGGGTCCCAAAGCAGACTAGAGCTCACTTACACCCCCAAGTGGGGCTCTGTGCCTGAGAGCACTGCTCACAGGAGGTGCTCAGCAAACACTCGTTAAAGGTGCATGAGCCGCGAGGGGCTGCACGGAGGTGTGGGGGAAGGGCATGGTCTGCGAGGCTCACCTGCCTGGGAAGGCTTTGGGTTTGCACTGGGGTCCTCCCTGAGTGCATGGGGCATGTACACGCTTGATTTGGGCCGGCTGAGGCTGAGTCAGAGTGGGATGCAGTCAGGGTCCCATTACAGAGCTCTGTCGCTCTCAGTCCCTGTGTCCCTCATGCTCAGATTATGAAATAAACTTTATTATTATTGTTCTAAAGCAAGCACGCATGGGCCAGCAGGTGGTGTGGAAGTTAAGGCATCTGGATTCCACATGGCCAGCCACACACTTCGAATCCCAGCCCTAGAGGCCGGGAAAACACACCGGGTGCATGTGCGTGCGTGTCCGAAATCCTGAGAGGAGAATCGAGAAGGAATCGTGGTATGGCCATCCCCCTGGAGGTGATGTCTCGTGTTCCCTCTCTGTCTCTCTCTGCAGTGAGAACACATGGGCTATAGCAAAACTAAAAAAGAAAGAGAGAAGGTGGTGGCTGGATTGCCCAGCACGTCATCACCGGGCTCGCGTGGGG